TCATGAGCACAGGAAATGTCCAGAGCTAATATATAGTTATGCAATTCAGCACCTGTAAATGCAATTCCTCTGCAATTTTTTACATTTTACATAGTAAGTTTCAGCTCAGAGTAAAGTTGGCAATTGAGTTTATAAATCCCAGAAAAACAGCATTTGAAAGAATAGTGAAGACAATAGAAGCTTATTTAAACTCATGACAGACATTTAAACTAGCATGTGTGTATATAGTCAGCAGTAGCAGGTTCTTACCTTACCAGCATCCGGACACAGCCATCACAGGTGACTCAGTTTCCCCTCACTCTTGGGTAGCTGGATGATTTGATATGGTCCAGCCCTCTAGCAAAACAATGAGATCTCCCCTTTTGGAAGGAACAGAAATCCAAACACCTGACATTCTTGGCCAAGCCCAGGCAATAACCTTCACCTGTGTGGACATAGGGTTGATTAATACCAATAGGAACTGGCCTTCCACAGGCAAAACAATTGCCCCTGCACTGATCTCAGTTGGTGATGAGTGAAGGGAGACTGAACATCTCAGTCATGTACCCAAAATGGGATTCTAGCTTTCAGTTTACATCTCAGCCCCTCTATATCCTTTTACCACCAGGTACTTACCTCATCCTTCCCTAGGGTCCTTCTATAGCTTGCCTGTGTTTAGACTGTCTCAGCTCTGGTAGGGAAGGGGGGAACCACCTCCTTCTTACCTAATCCCTAGCCTTCTGGTCTGCAGCAAGGCTGCTTCTTCTATGCCCTGCCATTCCTTCACAGCATGCCTTGCTGTCCCACCCTACAGTCACCTGGTCCCTGACTACATCTCCCATTAGTCCCTGCAAACTACTTTCCCAGACTGCACTTGTTTGGGGCTGAACCAGAACCAGGGCCGTAGTAGGTCAGCAGGTGTACTTAAAGAGTCACGCCATGCTTTGTTAGATAACTAGGGTTACCACCTGTCCAGATTTTGTCCCTTTTTAAGGTAGCTGACCTGGAAATCTGTAAGGGTGCTCAGCTGTCCAGTTTTATGGGCTCAGGATCATCCCAGATGTCCCTTTATTGTACCTCAAGAGTGGCACCCTATACAGAACCCATTTAGAATAATGCTGGTCTAGAAGATGTAAAAGATGAACTATTAACAATGTGACATCATACTGCTTCTCTGTTGCCAGAGGGTTATCCTTATGTAGGGGGCGTTATGACTACAGATTCCAGGTATGGTATACACCAGAGTAACTGAGATCAGAATCTGGCCAAAAGTGTTTGAAAAATTCCAAAACTAGTATTAAGATGAAGTTTATAGAACTATAAAACTTGATTAAATGAGTATTTAGGTTGCAAAATCAAACACTCAAAAGTTAGGAAATAACAGTTTTAAGGTTGCACTGCAAATTTAATTGTGCCCTTTTGTTCATCTATCCTGTGCACTGAAGGAGACAGGGGCCCTGGGGAAAATAATGATTGTGTAATTAAAGAGTATATGATAATGCATACACACAAGGGGGGCAGATTAAGATTGCACCGGTAACCTTAAATCTTGTAACCTAAGTAATGTTCAGTTAATGTAGGGGTTTTAAATGCAATTTGCTAGATTTTTATAAAAGGTAAAAGTTAAAAACAAGTTTCTTATGTGCATTTGTAACCACTTCTCCATCATGCATCACAAACAGGGCTGGGCTTGAACCCTGACTTTTCAGCACAGATGTCTACTACTTAACTTACAGGAAGACAAGGCTGTTATTCCAGAGGTGGAAAGGACTGCAGGGGCCCAATGCTGGGCCTGGAGGATGATTGGGTACCCTGGCCTGTGAGTGTGTGTGTCTCCCTCTCTCCCCACTTCGAACCAGGAGTTGAGGGAGCTTTTGCTCTGTATGGCATCCAGAGGAAGGAGGATGGGCTGCTTGGGCCATATGCTGGGTTTGAAGGGGTGGTTGGGGGGAACCCATCTCAGCAATCTCTCCCTCTTCCTCCCGTCCCTCCTATTACAGATGTTTGGTAGCTACTAGGTGTTCCCAGTACAATGTCTTCTGTTTTGGTGACAGCATGTATCTGGCCTTAGAACATTCATGTCCTGTTAATATTTTGGTGCCAAAGTTTTCCTGAGAAACACAAGTGAGAGAAGGAAAATGATGATTTCCCACAGATCTTTAAATCTAAATAGAATTTCATGGGACAAAGAAAAGGCACTTCTCCATTCCCTATTTCAAAGGTTTGTGTCAAGCAACGGCGGAATAAGAGCATCTCTAAAACATTTCACAAGAATCTTTTATACTGGGAAGCGTTAGGCAACCCAAATATAGGAGTTACTACCAGCTTCCCCTTATAATGTAAGACGCTAATGTGCTGTGAGAGAATGAGTTATCTAGCCTGGTTGCTTATTAGAACATTTAAAATGTGTGTTGGCAATATAAATAATGTACTCAGAGGTGTTACAAAATCTCACTGCTAAGGAGCTGCTGCTATGTGCAGGAACTTTCCATTCAATGCGACAGCAGTTTTGAAAGCCTTATCTATTGTGACAAGCTCTAGTTTCCTAGGGTTGCTCATTTGCTGTGGTCCTATTGCTTCATCTTTTACCCATTACAGATATTGCATGTGAAGAGACTTTCCACCTCAATATTCCAGCTCTGCTCTACTCCACTGAACGTGTGGGGAGTTTGGGCTTCAGGGACTTGGCATTGCACTAGGAAGATGATGTAACCACACACCAGAAGAGCCTGTCTTCTAGGGTCCTGAACCAAAGCACATTGAATCAATGGAAGGACTGCCATTGACTTCAGTGGGTTTTGCCTCAGGCCTTACAATCCTCTTTCCAGCAACAGAGGGCCTAATGAGTGGTGAAGAGGCCAACTCTCTTTTCCATACTTCTGAAGCAGGGGTTCTGTAACTGGGTTTTCAGCACTATAGCACTGTGACCCATAGAACATTACGTTACAGAGCAGTTCTGGCTTTGCTGGACTTCACAGCTGGAAACAAACTGTTCCTCTCCCATATTCACCCCAACATTCTGTTCCGTTGCATCAGTGACAGTCCCTATTCTGACTGAACAAATGATCCCCAAACCATCAGTACTGGGGAGCTACACCCATCTAGCAGCAGCCATGGGGACAGTAAATAGAAACACTTGATCTAGGGCCTCCAGAAAATTAGGACTATTGAGAGCTGTAAATCCCTCTGTGGTGGGCATGAAGGTCAGTGCCTTCTGACACAATTAGGGTACATGCTCACTGTGCTGAATACAGCCTCCTTATTAACACTGCTTGGAAACACACAATATAATCACCCCTGGCCACTTGAGAATACATGACATTTGTAAAAACAATGTGGAGTCCAGTGGCACCTTAAAGACTAACAGATTTATTTGGGCACAAGCTTTTGTGGGTAAAACCCCACTTCTTCAGATGCATGATGTTTGTGTTTCTCATTTGTGGGCCAGAATCTAGCCTCAGTGACATCCGTGTAAAGCCAGAGTAACTCCATTAGAGGAGATGAAAGCAAACATAATTTGGGAGATTTTCCATGAGCCATCACATATCAGCTGATGGTTATCTGTCCACGGTGGGGTACTTTGTTTTCACTCCATCAATGACCCCTTCAAAACCATCCACCAATGGCTCTGCTGGAAGTTCTGCTGCGGGAGCTGGCCCTCCCCCAAGACTCCAGCAGCTGTCAGGCACGATTGCAGTAATAAGCTGACAGCTGTGCCAGGTAACCTCCCTTTCCCCTGCCCAGCTGTGTACAGGATCTAAGATCCTTTTATCTCTTAGGTATAACATGGTTAGAGAAAAAAAACCCTCATGTGTTTTTCTCTATATGGCCTAAAGTGGAGAGAAACACTAGGCTATGGCAGTTTAGAGATGGGCCCAAACTGGATCACACACTCAGACTTGGGATAAGTTTGGATCTGGACTGAGAACTTTGCCCCTTGGGTCTCTCTTTATGGTGGGCAGAGCCTGGAACACCAACTCCAGATGCTCACAGACATTGGGATAACTCAGATCTGGGCTCTGCGGCTCTGTCCCATATGCATTGTTTTTACCATGTATAGCTCACCTGCTGCTCTGCCTGCTGCACTTTGCATCTGGGGTTACATAATGGGACCCTGACCTAGTTGTGGGCCCTAACTGCTGTTGCAATGCTAATAACCATCATCAGCATCTGTTCAAAGAGAATTTGTGTTTATGAAGCTGTGTGGGGAGAGGGTGCATCTGTTTCAGGGGTAGGCAACCTATGGCACAGGTGCCAAAGGCGGCACGCGAGCTGATTGTCAGTGGCACTCTCACTGCCTGGGTCCTGGCCACCGGTCCGGGGGGGGGGGGGTCTGCATTTTAATTTAATTTTAAATTCTTAAACATTTAAAAAACCTTATTTACTTTATATACAACAATAGTTTAGTTATATATTATAGACTTATAGAAAGACCTTCTAAAACGTTACAATGTATTACTGGCACGGGAAAACTTAAATTAGAGTGAATAAATGAAGACTCGGCACAACACTTCTGAAAGGTTGCCGACCCCTGGATTTGATACCAGGCTAGAACTGATGCTGTGTCTCCCAGGCCACAAGATTGGGGAAGGGGATGTTAAAGAGAGTCTGATCCAAAGCCTATTTAAGTCACTGTAAATTTTTTCATTCACTTTAGCAAGCTTTGGCTCAGGCCCTCTTCCCGCCCCCCCCCCCAAAGGCAGTAGAGCATTTAACACTATCTTGCAATGAAGAAAAGAAATCTACTTCTTCCCCCACTTCCACTCAAAAGCAAACAAACCCTTATTTTTGGCACAGAGGTGCAGGGCAGCTCCTTGGCTGAACAGCTAATGGGAGTGAAGAGTGTGTTAAAGTGCAAGCAGCTTTTGTCTGATGGGTAAATACTGCCAGTCGCAGGGGCTCTCTGAACTAGAAAGGAAGCAGCCTTTCAAAACCGAGGGGTGCATTCTACAAGGGGGTTTATTATACTGTAGCCTCTAATGATCCTATTGATTTTTTTTTAAATGACTTGTTTCTTTTAGGTGAAGAGTGAAGGCCCCAAGCTGGTGCCCTTTTTTAAAGCCACTTGTGTCTATTTCGTCCTCTGGCTGCCAACTTCCAGCCCTTCCTGGTTCAGTGCCCTCATCAAGTGTCTGCCCATCTTCTGCTTATGGGTTTTTCTGCTGGCACATGGAATCAATTTCTTGGTCGCCCATCAAAGCGCCAGTAGGATCTTAGCAGGGTTAATATTCTCTGCAGTGGGGGATGCCTTCCTCATCTGGCAGGAGCAAGGCTACTTTGTTCATGGTAAGTGATGCCCCAGTTCGGAAGGGATGTAATAGCAACCAGTTCGCATGTATTTAGTGCTGAATTTCTTATGCAGAGGGTTTATATATTTTTCATTTGTATTTAGTGTTTAACCCATTGTCGTGGCAGTAGGAAGGACTCATCCCATGCATAAATCCCTTGCATTGAAATTAGAGGGGGTGCACCGTGGCTGGATATGACCCTTGTCCTCCTCTGTACTCACATTCCAAGAGCCTGGGGTTGGCTGGTAGCCATGTCATGGGGCTGGCCCAGGATTGATTCTCAGCATCTGTCCTCATTCCCTGGACTGGCAGGACTTGGGAATGTGGCAGAGGCAGAATGACCTCACATCACTCAGCAGTTGGCTGGACTCTGTGCAATCATCTTATACACGGATAGCTGCTGTGATGTGCACTCCCAAAGCCCCAGTGTAAAGCAGAGAACAAGTGAAGGGGAAAGTGGATCCTCAGCGTTCTAACAGGGAAGCATGTGAGTAGGGAGCAGGGTGTGGGCAGTGGTTAGAGTCACACACTTGGAACCAGAGCTGGGGATAGTCAGATGCCAAGGGAAAGGTCAGAGCCAGTAACCAAGTCAGGAGGAGAAGCTGGAGTTAGAGTCTGGGGTAGGAGCAAAGACCTTTAGCAATGCAGGAACAGATGGTGGTCTGGGATAAGGAGAATAGGAACCAGAAACAGGCTGCAAGGCAGGAAACAGGAGTCAGGCACATAGGTAGGGTGTGTAGTAGCAGCCAACCAAGGATTCCTCCAGTCACTCAGACAACTTCCTATGCCTCTTTCTGGCTTAAGTAGTGCATCTGGGCCAATTAGTGCGGCTGGATATCTAGACATCTCCCCCCAAATCAGGAGCTTTGTGGGCAGGGCTCCATGCAAGCTAGAACTTCACTAGCCTCCTTCTCCAATCAATCAAATCATTCAGGTGAGCTGCTGTGTGGTGGCTGTGGTTGAGGCCTGTGATCCTTCAGTGCCCCTGGGGCTAGAGGTGGGCCATAGAAACCACTAGGCCTTCCCCTAATTGGAGATGTGCTGACTTGAGTCACAAGCTATCTTGAAAATGTAGGACTTTCAGCAAGCTTTGATCAGGTCCCTCTCACCAAAGGCTCTTAAGCAAACTAAGCGTTCTTGACATAAAAGGGAAGGTCATCTCATGGTTCAGTAACTAGTTAAACAGATAGGAAACAAAGGGCAGGAGTGAATGATGAATTTTCACAGTGGAGAGAAGTAAATAGCAGGGTCTCCTAAGGGTTTATACTGGACCACTGTTCAACATATTTATAAATTATCTGGGGGGGGGGGAGAGTAAATAGTGAGGTGGCAAAGTTTGCAGAGGATACTAAATTACTTAAGATAAGTCCAAAGCAGACTGTGAAGTGTCAAAAGGATCTCACAAAACAGAGCGACTGGGCAGCAAAATAGCAGATGAAATTCAATGTTGATGAATGCAAAGTAATGCACATTGGAAATCGTAATCCCAACTATACACACAAAATGAGAGAGTCTAAATTAGCAGTTACCACTCAAGAAAGATCTTGGAGTCATTGTGGATAGTTCTCTGAAAACATCCACTCAATGTGCAGCAGCAGTCAAAAAAGCGAACAGAATGTTAGGACCCATTAGGAAAGGGAGAGATAAGACAGAAAATAAGGTTGTTTGTATAAAGTCATTATACACCCACACCTTGAATACCATCTCAGAAGAATATTAGAATGGGGGAGGGGTGGAAAGTAGAGAGAAGGGCTATGAAAATTAGGAATATGGAATAGCTTCCATATGAAGAGAGATTAAAAAAAGACTGAGTGTTTATCCTAGAAAAGAGACAACTAAGGGGGTGGGATATGATAGAGTCGATAAAATCATGAATGGTGTGGAGGAAGTAAATGTTATTTACCCCTTCACAGAACATAAGAACCAGGGGTCACCCAATGAAATTGATAGGCAGCAGGTTTAAAACATAAGGAAGTAATTCTTCGCACAATGCACAGTCAATCTGTGGAACTCATTGCTGGGAATGTTGTGAGTTAAAATAATTCTGGAGGATAGGTCTCTCAAAGACTATTAGCTAAGATGGTCAGGGACAGAACCCCATACACTGGGTGCCCCTAAACCTCTGACTGCCAGAAGCTGGGAGTGAGGATGATGGGGTGGATCACTCGATAAATTGCCCTGTTCTTTTCACTCCCTCTGTAGCATCTGGCACTGGTCACTGCCAGAAGACAGGATACTGGGCTAGATGGACCATTGGTCTGACCCAGTGTGGCTGTTCTTATGAATACCCATCAGCCCATTTTCTTCAGGGGCTGCTGACAATTTTGTCTTGCCTCCTCAAATGTTTGAACTGAGGTTTTCAAAGCAGTCTGGGCTAGTGGTTGTCAACCTTTTCACAACCTTTTCCTATCAATGGCAAAAAACTACATTAACACAGAAGTAAGCTTGCCTGGCTGAGTTGAGCAAAGCTCATTCGGAAAACCAGGAAATGCAGAGTTAATGTTGCCCATGCAACCTTGACTCTACCCTCTTTTAGTAATGCCCTAATACGCCCTGTTAACACAGGTTTACTCTGCCAACCCCACAGTTGCTGAAATGTAAGAGCTCTTCACCACCTTTTACACCCATTCACTTTCACCACGGAGGATTTTAGAGTACTTCCAAGAGTTGAACTGTAGCACATATAAAATGTTAGGAATGGAAACTTTTTAGCTGTATTTCTATATTAGCACATGCAACTAAAAAAAAAGTACATTTTCTTAAATATGGTTCTCAATTTCAGTCCCCCAAAGATTTAGTGGGTGCCGTGCACTACTTTGGGTGCAACTCAACAGCTTGAGACCATTTTTACTTGCATCACATTAATAGCTTGATCTCTAGCTCTGCGCAAAAACAAAACAAAACAAAAAAAACCTACACACAATCCACACACCCTGGAAAATTTGAAAAATGGCTACCTTTTCCAGGACTTGTATCTTTGCAACCTGTCTCAAATGACTCCAAATTTGGGCCACTAGCCCTACCCCACCCGCTCCTGAGGCACACCAGTTTCAAAGGAATCCAACTAAACATGTAGATTTCAGAAGATTTAAAGTGTGACCTTTAAAGAGAAATTGCTTCCTTAACCATTATGGCACTGCTGCACCACTATAATAGTGGGATCATCTTAAGACCAACTTCCCAAATATCTGGAATAGGTCAGTGATCCCCTCCCACGCATTTAGCAATATGGGAAGTGTGGTTGCAAGCCCTTGACACCTGTTTTAAGTGCCCACATTGAGAACACATGGTCTAGGGGATTTGGACACATCTCCCATTAATTTCAATGGAATGGGTGTCTAACGCTCCTAGATGGCTTTGAAAATCTCTGCCTTCATATTGTGTCATCCCTCCCCCCCAAACAGGCTGATGTCAAACATTTGCCATTTTGAGCCACCTCAGGAGTCTTTAATACTCTTTCCAGTGGTGACAGACAGTAGAGGAAGATTTGAGCTTCAGCCATTTTCAGACAAAATGTCATGCACCGCTACAGTTAATCTTTGATCGACGCTAGAAAAAGTAATTTCTCCTTGTTTAAAAGTTAGTAAGTCGGTGCTGGTTGAGGAAAAAAACCCTTTAAATTCAAAATGTTGACAGCATTCTTTGTGGAAATATCCATAAAAGTACATTCAATCTTAGCAAACAGTTCATTTCCATCTCTATAAATATGGCTGTCAGTCTGAAGACAGTTTTGAAGTTGGTCTCCTTTGAACTGCTGTTGGCAAGAGGAGTTTGGTAAAAGACATTTGTGACTTTATAGGATGAAAGTCCTGATGAGCTATTCTTGCTGTGCTGGTCTTGTTGCCTCATTTTTTACTATTACAGCCAACTAATAGGAAGCTGTTTTCTGACTAGCATCCTATTGTGTCTAGGAGATATTTTGTAATTGAAAATGCATCTCACTTGATGACAGACATTTAAAACCAAAGTGAAGTTTCTAGTCTCTGCTTATACTAGCCCTTTGCACTGGTGGCTAGAGACTCACATTTCAGATGAGGGAATGGAAGGTGTAACAAAAGGGAATCTCATTCACTCAAGGTGGGGGTGGGTGGATTGCAGCTGGCTAGTCCTCTCCATTGGGGAAGAGACAGAAAGGTAACGGAAGTCAGCCGCTTCCATTGCAGTTGGACCAGAATGAAATGGAGAGTAAGAAAAGATGCAGAGGGAAAAGGCTGAATTAGCTGGAAATTTGGATTCCCAGATCACACTCTTGCACATCCAAGGACTTGGTCTGAGCACATCTTGTAATCCAAGCACCTTGTAATGGCAATACATATATGCTGGAAGGCTGTTGAATGTTTGCTCTCTCTCTCTCCCCCCCCCCCCGTCTTTAGTTAGGTGGGGTGGGGCCTCCTGCCACTTCCAAATGCCTGAATGAGCTCTCTTGGGAGCAGCCCGTCTTCTGTCTGTGACTAACCTCACAATTTATCACAAACCTCTTTCCCGTCTCTGCTTCTCATCTCGACCACCATTTTCCTTCGCAATGCCAGGGCTGACTCAGTGGAGTTACACTAGGAATCCATGTGATCCATTGTCTGTCTTTTCTGTCAGACATGCACAGAACCCGGTGTCCATCTAGACCAGTGGTTCTCAACCAGGGGTCTGTGGGCTGGTTTCAGGGAGTCCACCTAGCATGGTGGTTGTTAGACTTGCTAGGGCCCAGGGCAGAAAGCCAAAGCCCAGCTGCGCAGGACTGCAGCCCGGGACCCTGAGCCCCCCCAACCCCAGACTGAAGCCAAAGCCTGAGCAACTTAGTTTTGCAGTGCCCCTGTGGCGTGTGACCCCGGGCAATTGCCCTGCTTGCTACCCTTTGACGACAATCCTGGCTTTTATATGCAGAAAAACAGTTGTGGCACAGGTGGGCCATGGAGTTTTTAATAGCATGTTGGGGGGGGGGGGGGCTCAGAAACCCCCAAGAACCCCTTATCTAGACCTTCCCAGCAGGCTTGTTTTCTGACTGTATGTATTATATTCTTTGATTCTCTATCCCTGGCTTTTCCACATAAAGCCATTGAGCCTCTTGGAGAAGAAACCTCTCCTGACACCTATCTAAAGTATCCTCACATCCCTTAACTTCCCCTTAAAACTGTGCATGAGATTGTTGTAGTATAAAAGCTCTTGTCCTAGATCTTTAGTAAATGTCCCTACTCCTCATGTTTAGCTAGCTCATTAAGTCTTCCCTCCTGTTCTCTGAATTAGTCTTGAGGCCATCATTTGGTGTCTCTCCTATCCCCACCCCATTTCATCCCTCTCCTCTAGTGCCCTGTCTCATCTATCTAGCCTTGTGCCCTACATGTGGGCTCTGCCTCTCCTCTCTCTACCAGTTCCATTCTGTGGATGCACCAGCAATCTGAGCTGTAGATCAGCTGGACATAGCACAAGACACTCCCCAGTGCAGAGGGGGCAGTGCCACCTGGTTGAGTTGTTTTAGCCCAGTGTGTTGGCTTGTGAGCATGACAGACATGCAGAACAAACTTCTCACCGGTGGATTTTAGTTGCTAAGGAGCTCCTGTTCCCCTTCTACCAGGGCATCACGACATAATTTGCAGCCACTGGCCTGCTGGGGCACTCAGATTTCCAGATTCTTTTCAGTTTCATTTATGCATGAAAACATCTAGCCAAGTTAACAAATCTGTATGAACAGAATGGAACAGACTTTCAGTGTATGTAGGTCTGTGGGCTGAGGGTGGGAGAAGGGAGCTGAAATTATTTTGGAGTCCATCATGTGAGACTGGCAAGACCAACTAGTAATCAGCACCTGCTGCAACACATGGTGACATTTCTTGTCAGATGGACTAGTGCAGAGGGATTAACATATGGGCAATTCCTTCCTACAGCAACATCTGGGATTTCTCAAGGGTGTTTTTCTTCAAAGGGAAGCTTGTTTTGTTTTCGCTGATCAATTCCACTCTTGAATCATTTGGGTCCTGCAAGTAGCCATAAAAAAAAGTTGGCAGGTTTAACTGGTGTAATCCCTGAAATATGCCTGCTTCTTCCTTCCAGTTTATGATTCTGCTAGCAGTGGGTGGAGGAGGAGATGTTTAGACTTGGGTCCAGCTTAGGCCCAGGTTGGAGTTTGGGTTTGTGGCTAAACAAGGCCAGAGTTTGGGTCTGAATTTGGAGGTATTGCAATCCAAATATTGTGAGAGCAATTAGCAAAGATTTCATCTGGTCTGGGAAAAGTTTCCTTCCAGTTTTGGCACCACCCAGAAATAAAAAACAAAACAAAAAACTCTTCAGGTGTGTACAGATCTGGGATCTCAGACCTGCCTTCCTCCACTCTGAAATTCAAAAAAGAGGTCCGGTCTGAAAGACTGGAGTTTTGTTTCTTCCTAATTGATCTGTAGAGTTAGCAGAGGTGGTTGGCAGAGCAGAATTATCCTCAGTGTGACTGTGGGTACTTCAGGACATATTCCTAGGGCAGGAACAATCTGACCAGGGTGGCCTCCTCTACAGATGTCACTATATTAATTTTTTTTTTTTTAAATAAAGGGATGGGATTTTCAGAAGGGCTGAATATTGGCCTACCTCTGCTTCCACTAAACTCACGTGGGAGTTTTACCACTGGGAGCAGAATTGTGTGACTGTTTAATCTGATGTATTCATAAGTCTCCACCCACAGGTCCCTGACTGTGGTGGGCTACTGTGTTAGTTATTCCCATTAAAGCTCACACTTGCTGTGTCAATGCCTCTTTCCAGGTCTGCTGATGTTTGCCATCACACACATCCTGTACTCCTCAGCATTCGGGATGAAGCCTTTGGACCTGAAAGCCGGCTTTGTGATGACCCTTGTTTCCAGCTTCTGCTACACCTTCCTGTACTCCTACCTCTCAGGCCCCTTCACCTACCTGGTAGCTGTCTATATCGCTTTGATCGGCTTCATGGGGTGGCGCGCCATTGCTGGCGTGCAGCTGTGCAATGACCTCTGGACTTGGACCAAGCTTTCGGCCTGTATTGGCGCAGTGCTTTTCATTGTGTCAGATCTGACCATTGCCGTTAACAAGTTCTGCTTCCCGGTGCCCTACTCACGTGCCATCATCATGGCCACTTACTATGCAGCCCAGATGCTCATTGCACTCTCAGCTGTGGAGAGCAGGGATGAAGAGGACTTCAAAAGGAGGAATTAGATGGAACGCCAGCAGGCTCATGAACTGCATGGATTATAACTGGGGTGCTGCAGCAGCATTAGTCGCTGAGGGAGATCTCCATCTCTCAAGGTGCATTGGTGATAGAGATTTTGCTTCTTTGAAGCATTATCTTTGGTTTTTTTTAATCTGACTCTCCTTGAATGTAATTTACTTCAGTGTGGAGACCACATTGGAGAATTTAGACTGCTCCTACAGTAGCTACTCATTGACCTTTTCCTCTTGGAAGCTTCAGGAGTCCTCTCTAATACCACATTGTATTTGTTAATCCTGAAGGTGGTTCTGAATGTTATGGAAGGAGAAGGCTAATTTAAAGAGACCATGAAAAGAGGCTAGGCAGGTTAAGAGGCTTGCCTTCGACCCTGGACACACATGTCCAAATCCCAGCTAAGGTGATAGGGAGGTGACAGTAGGGTGACAGGAAATGTGAAAAAAATCAGGTCAGGCGGTGGGGGGTAATAGGATCCTATATAAGAAAAAGGCCCAAAAATCTGGACTGTCCCTATAAAATTGGGACATCTGGTCACCCTAGGTGACAGTTTAGGTGGTGACTAGACTAGATCCCACTTGTGGGCATTACAAAGCCACTACACAGGGTGCAGCAACTGACAGCCTCTGCTCAAAGAAAGCCCAGGAGTGGCATAGCAGGAGGATAGGTAGTGCAGGTCAGGTCTGAAGTACATTGGTAAGAATTGGGTGGTGGGAAACTTGCACTGTACCTGATTCTAACCAGGGCTCTTTTGTGAATTCCAAATTCATGCAACTTCCTATTTAAATGCTAGTCAAAGTTTTTCTGCCCAATGTGAAGGCTGCTGAGCATTTAGTATGTGATACACTTGCAGCAGCAACTTCAGAATGTTATTGCATTCTGAACTTTGAGAAAATGGGAAATGAAAGGCATTCTTTAAGCAGGCTGGGTTATGATGACAGGATACAAGTTAATGAGCAGTTTTAGCAGGCAACTTTCAGCATTTGCTATGTTGGCCTAGGGCAGTCCTGTGGCCGTGTGCTAAGATATGATGGAACAATGGATCTGTCTTTCAACATCAGACCTCACCCCCTGTTACCAGTAGCTTTGTTGACTGAATTAATAAGCCTGGCAAACCTCCTGCACCTCCTCTGTAGGTGCAGAGAGCTCTTGAATCAGTGACAATGCTTGTGCCAACTCCAAAACAAAGGCAAAGTATTACAACACAATGGGATATGGCATACTTTGATCACTGTGAAGTTACTCCAGACCCAAGTTTATAGATGCATCATTAGTGTTAATAGGCAATTGTTTTAACTGTGAGCTTGGCAGCTTTTCAGGGAAACCTATTTATTCAATTAAGGCCAGTAGGCTTCTCTATTTGTATATGTCTACACACTTGACCCTATACATAGGTGCACAGTAGTATGGTATTAGCCACCATACACAACCTGAACTGGGGTATTCTGTGCTTTGCACCACGCCTTTGGAGATGCATTCCACTAAGGAATCATAATTGATTTCTTCTGGGCTCACATTCTGTCCATAATGTGGGAATTGGGAGCCTGGGAATTGGGAGACTGGAATTTGTCATTTAAGCATTTATCGCTCAGTATTTACAGCTGCCAAGTGAGAATACTCTGCATATTTGCACATAATATTTAACATACCCCTTACCCAGGGTATTTGTCTGTTAGCATTTTCCCTTACCTGCAAAGCCAGCTATGTAGAACAAGTATCTGGTTTTTACCAGTCAATGGCAAAGAAGCAAGTTTGTGCCACTTGACTTGGCAAAGCCCGCTTTGAGGCAAAGCCCGCTTTGAGGCAAAGCTACCTGAAAAGAACAATTCTGTGCGTTAAAACCAGCTCACCCCATTTCTCTTAACGTCCTGGAGCCTATAATAAAATCAGAACCATTAGAGATGGGAAAACCAATTTCCTACCAACCCAAACTGTTTGGCCATCTTATCCTCCCCTCTGCCATAGCAAGATTATCTCTTCCATTAGACTCTGTTAAAGGATTCTGGTGAGGTATTTTTAATTTCACAGTTATAATTTTACTTTCCAATAGTTCCTTCCCTCCTGCATGCTGGTTTTAATTTATTGTGGGTTGCTCACAAGTGCTGAACTGTTGCTGCCCTGGATTTTTCTTTGACGCGTGACAAATGGACAGAGACACATTTCCTATGGATATACATTGATAGTGCATCGAGAGGGCTTTCCTCCCCTTTCCCAAATCTGATGGGGTCCCTTTAATGTTTATTTTGTGGCCCTTCCTCCTATTGCTCAGACAGGTACTCACATGAGTAGTCCCACTGATTCTAATGAGACCACACAGGTGAATAACTGTTCCTAAGTGTGAGTGAGGTGTTCACAAGTGAGCCCTGGCACAGGGTGCTCTACTCACCACAGGATGGCACCTCCTTCTGGTGGTTCTGAGGATTAGCTCTGCCAGACCAAACACCCCTTCTCGTGGTTGCAATCCACCTCTCTGACTGCAGCCCCTCTTTCACTCCAAGGAGCTGCTGCTTCCTCTTTGTGATTCAGCTGTCCAACCAAGTCATTAAGTGGCTTCCCTTCCACTATAGTCTTTCAAAGTCTCCTTCCACAGGCAGTCCTCACACCCACTGCCCTGACAACATCACTCCACCAATCTTCATGTTCGCTACCCTTAGCACTACCACTCTGTAGTGGTTGGTAGGGGAACCCAGGCCCACCCTCTATTCGGGGCTCCAGACCAGGGCCCTATAGTGAACAGTTAAGGCCTAACTCTGTACCAACCTTACTGCTCTCACCCCTGGATGCCTTCCTACTGTGAGTCTTCTCCCCTACCTCAGGAAGTAGAACAATAGACTTCCTCCCTGCTACCTTCTTATACTAGCTCCAGTCTCCTGGCTTTGTAGAAGCCCTGCCTGTCCTCTCACAGGTGATCTTCCTTCTAATTAGCTTCCTCCAGTCTAAATCTCCCCTGTTTGCAGCCTAATTGGTTGATTAGGCTTGATTAGGCCTAATTCAGCCCTTGCAGGGTTAGTGTGGGGAGTACATCTCATCACAGGCCCTATGTGGTGAGAGCTTTGTTTTTGCACCTGGCATTTCTGAGATTGATCCTGCAGGTTTCTTGTAGGCCAGTTGCAATGCCCTGACTGAGGACTTGTCTACAGGGCTGCAGCTGCACTGATGCAGTACACGGTTGTAGCACTTAGTGAAGACACTACCTATGCTGACAGGAGAGCTTCTCCCATCAGCGTAGGTACTCCACCTCCCCAAGAAGCAGGCTTCTCTCGTCAATGTAGTGCTGTGTATACCAGCAGTTCAGCTGGTTTAACTGCGTTGCTCAAGGGTATGGATTTTCCACACCACCGCATGACGTAGTTATGCCGACATAAGTCTGTAGTTTAGACCAAGCCTCAGTTTCTGCTGCAGCCCTGCTCACTACACCTCCTGGAATACAGTAATAGTCACTTTAGTTCACATGCTCCTATAGCCTTTGTTCTTTGGGGGTTCTCCCAGCACTGTTCAAAGGCAACTCCTGTTTTCCCTGTTGTTAAGATATTGAAAGTAAATGGCAGGTTTTTCAGGACCATATATGACACAAAGAGACGCTGTCAGATCCAAATTCGTCCCCGATGTAGAGTTAATAATGGAATCCACAACTGGTGTAAATGGGCCATTGTTTTCTGTGGAGCTTTGCCAATTTACACCAGCTGTAGATTTGGCCCACAGTTTGCAAAGCCCTTTGGGCTCAGACCTGCTATCTAAGTAGCAAGACAATATTAGTAACTGAATGATCTGTGCATTAAGTCCATGAATTGAAGGAAAATGGTCTTTATCAGTGACTGGTTGCAAGGGTGAACACACCACCTGTGCCAGGGAAATACTAGATGGGTGAGCATCTCCTAAGTGCAGCATCTCCACCTGACACCCTCTTCTCTTGTGTGGCTGTCTCAAAGGGAGATGCTGGGAGAGAGACAGGCACTGGTAGAACAAACCAGACTGCAGTGTTAGTGTTTAGTTAGAGAGCTACATGGGTGAGCACCCCAGAGTCTCTCAACCAGCCCCCTGATTTTATATGACATACAAACTCTTCCGAGCCAATCACATTGATGAGATGGCATTGTTTTGGACTCTTACCTGAGAATGCTGCAGTTTAGGAAAATATAATTCCACTTTGATTTAACCTCCTATAAAATATGTGGGCCTCCATTCTCTGGTGCACCCAAGAGTGCTTGGCACAGGCTGGAGAGGGGGCAAAGATCTCTTGAAGAGACTTTTGCACCTTGCCAAATCTGTAGCCCTCTGGCCACATGGTCAGGCTCTAGTCTAGTGTAAGTTGAAGTGGCCTGAAAGCTATTCTAATCTATGCTAGTTGCCAGTGGTCCTGTGCAGTAGTTCTGGCAGCTAAGGGAACGCTGATCATGCCCCCTGTGTGAGTGTTAGCAACAGAGGACAGCTTCTGCTTCTCTCCTTGGCTTGGTGATGCTCCCACAAACCTTCCTTCGCCTTGGCTGGTGCAAAGAGCGCTCCTTCCTGTGTTACAATTTAGCTCACAGGGTAGCACTGAATCCATGGGACGACTGGCAGAGTAATGCACTATTCTACCTGAGCACGGCTGGCAGGACCAGTGGGCAGTATTAGCAGCAGTGCACGATAGGCTGCTGGCACTGAGGATACCCCACACTTTCTTTACTGAGTAGTTTTCACACCCATCAGTAGCACAATAGTACTATTTAGGCTCTTGACTTCCATTGAGTTCAATGAGGATCTGGACCTTCCTTCCAAAGACTCTTCATATTTTAGAAAATGTAAGTACAATTGCAAAAGGCTGGGTTAACAATAGTGCCCCTCCAGAAGTGTCTGCTGCTTTATAAACATACACCAGAAAGGTTAGCTGCATTATTGAGGGGGACAGCATTGTAAATAGCACAAGCTCCTGTAATCTCCTCCCTCTAATGCTGTTGCATAATATTGCCAGTATTCATTCACTCAGGGGATTGCTTCTGCTAGAGTCACCAGCTATAGGAGGTGTGCAGCATCTCCATTCATCAGTTTTGCTTATCTCGTAATCCCCAGCTTGGCCCCTGCGTTGCTGCTCTTTGCGGATGTCACCTGTTGTTACACAGGCCATTTGTTGAAGCCCTCTTCCTGCCATAGAGCCAGCTAGAGAAAATATGCATGTTCAGTGCCATAACCGTCGGCTGGGGCCAGTGCGAGCAGGATTTGAGTGAATGGCTAATTTAAGATTTATTTAATTCTCTCTTGGACTATGTAACTTTGGCATATCTATTCTTATCTTCTCCAAGGATTTTTCCCCCCCTCTTGTAAGACTGACATGCTAAGTAAAGAGGCTAATGGATACCTTCATTTAATGTTATAACCTCCCCCTCTCTGAGTTAGTAGGGTATCACTTTCTTCACCTCCAGAGAGTATTATTCTTCAGTTTCCTGAAGCAGTTTTAATGATTTTTCTGTAATTTTTTTCATTTCAGTTTATTTTACTATCTGCCAATCTCAGGCCTTGATCCTGATGATGATTGCAGGGGGTTCAGTAGGCGTTAATAGGTGATCTGTCATTTTGACATGAGGGAGCGATCTGAGCATGGGCACTGTAAAATGCACTGCTTCTGTTGTGGGCCTGCGCTGGAGAACTCTGAGAGAGTCAGTCGAGGGTTGCCCGAGGTGTCACAGGCTCAGGCTGTTAGAGAGAGTCACCCTGGTCTCTCACCTGTCTCCCTCTCCACATCCCTTTAATCCACATTACTTGAACAAAACCCTTTTTCCTGAGAGAGCCTTTCTTGCTGGGAAGAGGCCAGCTGCTATGAGTACATATTTGACACAGCCAGCTCTAATTCTTCTGATTAAGCCTGGGAAACATTGACCAGTTGCTGGTGGAGGTGGGCGTCTGTGTTAGATACTGTTTCCTGGGACAAAAAACAGTTCAACACTGGTGAAAGCAATCTGGGATT